TACAGTATGACAACCTTAACCCCTACCCTGTCCTAACCATAACCATAAGTAACCTAACAAAATACAAGAGTTTTTGCATTTTTAGTTTTTTCATAGCAGTCACCGATTTTTATAAAATAGAGTTTTCCCTTATGGGGACCAGGAAACCGGTCCCCATAAGGGAAAAAAAACGGATATTTATCACGTTACGGGGACATTATGTCCCCATAAGGATAGGTAAACCCGCTCACACATACACAGACTGCATGGGCAATTCAGAGATGAAATTTCACCCACTTCTATGTCGTTGGACTGAGAGAGGAAACCAGAAGACCTGGAGGAAGGAGAACATGCAAAATCCACACAGAGAGCAGGGGGTGAGTTTCAAGCAGCCCAGCCCAGGACGTGCAATGCAGCAGAGCTACCTAATGAGGCAGCTACCTCTGTACTCATAATGGAGACATACACATTGATGATTGTATACTACACACACACACACACACACACACACAAACTTCAGTTAATGTAATTATATGTGAGAACTTTTCATCTTTTCACATACAAGATATTGAACATGAGATATTCTGAGATGTTTTATATGGAACTTACTGTGTGGCCAAACTTCCAGTGAGGTGTGTTCCCAGGTGAAATCGCACTCATTGAGCACGGGGGGGGGTTGGTGGGAGAGGGGCCTGGTGATATCAGAAAAGCTTTGTCGGGCTGCAGCCAGCTTGCAGGACCCGCCAGGCACAGGGAACTCGAATGAGTCATTGTCTAAAGGTCACTGTTTCCCTGTCTCAGGTATCAAGCTGACCTTTTATGTGAATGATGCAGGATAAATAATGGTTTAAATACTGGAAAGCAGGGCAAAATAAGATTACAGCATACGCCTTTTGTAAGTGTCATTCTGTATAAAACTATATTTTTATGAATAACTGGTCAAGAGAAGATCAAGACTTTGTAAAATAAATTAATATATTGGAAAACTAAAAGTTTTTTTGTTCTCATGAGTAATCATACAATATAATACAGGGTATCCATACCTCTTACTAAATAGCTTATTCAGTGTAAGGTCATTGAAAGGGTGAAGCCAGCACTCGGAAACACAGGAGACAAGGACAGAGGTGCATAAGAGGGGTCATGATTCATACAGAAGGACCAACCTTATTAGCCAATGAAATGCTTTGAATTGATGAGGGGGCCAATCAGCTTTCAGCTGGGGTCAGTGCCCCTGTGCCCCCGCCCTGTGTACAGCCCAAGGCAGGGAAATCCTGGATGTGGTGGCAGTCCATCACAAGACAAACACACGATTTTATTTGGCAATGAAAAGGAATTGTTCAGACTAACAAAAAACATTTGGTACCTCCCATGGGGGACCCTTAGGGTTCTGCTCTAAGAGGTTCCATAATCTGGGGAGAGGCGCTTTCACATGTACAAGGGGTTCCATGGAAGCAAACAAAAACTCCCGCTCACTGTGTTTTCAAAGAAGCATCTTGTCAGTCATCGAGCGGATTATGTGATGGGGGGGGTGGTTATGCAATCCGCAGCATGTCTGAACTGGCTTAATCAAATGGGTTCTGCTGGGAGATTTTATATTAATGAGCTCAGCCACTACTGTCCCATTTATTTAACTCCAGTTCCAATAAATCAATAATAAATGCCTGTGATTTAAAAAGGATTTGGTTAATTGTTATTTATATTACATAACCACTGTACTTCAGGTTAAATATTCAACTGCATAATGATTATTAGGAGAATATGAACTATAGGTAGAATTAATCTTTGTTTAATAATGAAAATGTTTCATTATAAAGGGGGCAGGCTGCAGGAGGTTTACTTGGGGGCTTACTTGAGTCTCAGACCAACCCAATCACAATTCATTTATTTTTCTGACACTTTTATCCAAAATAACTTACACTAAAGGAAAGTATTACAATTTGTGAGCTCATTTGAGCCCATGACTCTACTAGTTAGGCTAAAGGAGATGTTCCCATTGATGTTTCGAGAAGCTCTTGGACTTGCTGAACATCCAGACATTCTAGACTGGAGTGGCAGCGTATAGAGTGGGCCACCTGTTCAGAGCATAAACCGGCTTGACAACACATTCCTACCAAACCATAGCTCACCGGTTTCCACTGACAGGCCCAGACCCACATGTGACGCACGGCAACACAAAAGCCATAATATTTAGAAGGAACTGCAAATGCTGTTTACAGAGCGAGCGGGAAACGCCGCAGGCTCGCACAGTTCGGCGGGCACGCGGACTCCTCGCCCGCTGAAGTGTGAGCCCACTTTGCGGCGTGAACCGTGAAAAATGAGTTTACTCACCTAAACACGGAGGGACAAATGCAGTAGACCAATCAGGAAGGCTTGTGGCCCTGGGGCCAGGCTTGTGACGCAGAGTGCATTTGTACTGCTTGTCCTTCCTGCTATCAGTCAGCGAACGCATCATGAACCTTCAGGATCTCTCCTAACTTCCATCCATCTGCTGACCTCTTATCCCGCACAGATTTGCAGCGAGAGCCTGGAGCTGATCCCAGGAAAGTCCGAGCACATGGCAGGGTTACCTCCCCACACAGGATGCCAGTCCATTGCAGGGCACAGACATGCATCTTCACACTATGGGCAATTTAGAGAAGCCTAACTGCATGTCTTTTAACTCCAGGAGGAAACAAGTGAGCTCTGATAAACTCATACAGCACAGGAAGGACACAGAGGTGCTTTGCAGAAAATTAATTGTGTTCAGTTCATTAATTGTGAAGTATTCAAGCAGAGATGGGTGCATGTATCATTTTGTCTCACTGAATACATACTGATTGATATCACCCTTGTGGCCTTAAATGGGCAGTTTGTGGGGGCGTGTCCTAAGAAACGTTTTTGTAAATTGTGGGCAACACTAAATCTTGACTCATGATTTGAATGAAACATCCCCCCTGATTTGACAGCATAAATTCAATCGTTTCAATGCATGTCAATGAATGCCATTTACTGGTAACAGATGATGTCACATCCACCCTCCACCCATCAATGTTTAACACGACGAGATCACAAAGTTTCACCAGATGGAGATTCTCTGGAGCATCGCTTGCTGGTGCCTCCCGTACAGACCTGCTCCTCCACATCCCTTCAGAGCGCAGGGCTTTGATTTGGGAGACGGAGTGGGACACCATCCATAGCCTCTATCAGATTGTGATGCCAAGCGAATCACTCCTACAAAAGGTGCAGAGAGGTGTCAGGCTACACATCAGACCGGGAGACACGTTGAGTGTGAGTTTGCCACTGATAACATGTTTACCTTGCACGGCGAGAACAAGCAACACCATCATCAACCAAAGGCTAGAATGCTAAGATTAGAAACCGCACAGAATGTTGCAGCCTCACCCCTAAAAGGGCCTAATTGAAGTGAAAACAATCTTGCTGAGGCATGCATGCACAGACCAGCCTTTGTTATGACATGCTTCATTGTTTGTTACACACAATTCACAACATAGTGATCTCCCAGAAGTATATCCATGAATCATCCTTTAACAGGCACTGCGACAATTACACCCACCGTCTGATAAGAAGCAAATGTATACATGCGAATTGATCAAACGTTTTTGGTTACTGCTTGCTAAAGAATACCAGGAATTTAGCAAGAATTCAAAGTAATATCAAATATGAAATTTAATGAGGAACAGGTACACCCACCTGATCGCCCTCACAGTGCAAAAGGGAGTGTCAGGCAGGGAAAAATCTGAAGTTCAGGTTGCACCATGGGACAAAGCTGATTAGCGGCCCAGGATCCTCAGGGACCCTCTTAACACTGTGCCGAAGAACTTCTGCGGATAGGATCAGGGGTTCAGACTGTGGTATAAATACGGATAGGTGGTCAAATATGATCATGTCACAAGGCAGGGTGAGCCGACAAGATGGCCCCTGTGTAAAACAGACACTACCCCGTATTCTGAGAACTCAGGAGACAAACATTTAGGTAACGTTTCCACAAGAGAGGCAAGAACCTGAAGTAACACCGCTACAGCAGTATCCGACTTGCTGCTGAAATCGTCTGCTCATCGCATGTGTCGGGGCTGCTTCCACGGGAAGCTAATCCGCCTGTGCTGCCAGTTTACAAGCTTACTATAGGCTTAACGTCACTTAGTAATGTGACTTTTCTGTCAGTGCGTTAATAACTTCAGGGTTTGTGACAATGTGTCACAAGGTATGTTTTTTTTTTACCAAAGCATTTTATTGAATCTTTTTACTGAATCAGACTGAGTGCACCGGGCAGTTTTAAATGATATATAACTATGTCTTCATATTTAATCGTTAAATGGAAACATTTTCTTCTTAGTATCTTTTGCTGTCATAAGGGAAATAACTCATTATAATTAAATATTATTACGACAGACTTTTTGCGACTTTTTAATGGTTTTTCAATAGATGTACCGATTCCGGGTGTAAGATAGCATTTAAAAATACAAATGCGTGTGTTTTCTATCACAGAGGGCCCAGGGGACCCATGTGGGGTTACTTTTCTTTGGCTGTATAAGCGTCCGCCCAGGCAGATGCGTCTCAGCACGTGTATGATCCCTATAAGGCGTGACGGACTGAGCACCGGCCCCCACGGCGCTCGGTGTGATATACAGCTGCTGGGATATGCCTGACCGATCCCTGCCTAAAATACACAGGGTGTTGCCTTTTCGTAGAGGAAGGTGCCTTTGCATATTTTTCGGACTTCTGAGCCCCCCCTTTCCCCAAGGACTGCAGGACGGCAGCTTCTTACTACGCCTGGATACTTCCAATGTGCATTCTCGGCGAAACTTATTAATGCAACTCGATCGTAGTGTGAGTGTTTCAAATTTGGTTCTTTATTCGTTTTGATATGTGTTAGCGCGATAATGCATCCCGTTACGTTGCAGCGTAGAAAACGAAAAGCCCAATTACTGTCGATTTAACATTATTTGGTGAAATGCTTCAAGCTTAATAAGTTATTTTTTTAAAAAAAAGATACGCACTAAACTACGTGTGTCACAGTACGCAAAAGCGCCAGGATACAATGAGTCTTTTAAAAAGTCCTATTTCTACACATAAGCGTTATTCTGTGCGGTTCATCGACGTTAGTCATTATATGGGCAAATAAAACTGAACATGTAATTACCTGTATATCTACTCCAGCAATTACACGGTTTCCATTGCTACCTTCCAGATTTCGGGGGCTGTTCTGCGAACGATCTCGCGGAGGAAGGGCGGTGCAGAGTTTTTGCTTGATTGACTTACCGCAGGTTCGCTGTCTCAGTGCTTTAAGTGTCGGAGAAGTAAAGTCGGTCCGGCGAGGTAAGACTGTGCCGAAGGTTGTGGTTTTTCTTTTTTGGTGGGGCTCTTCGGATTTACTTATGGGGTTTATTTTTAAGTTTAATATAGCTGTTACCTTATTGATATGTTGTTGTGTTTACTTAATTGTATTTAAGTAGGCTATTACATTTAATACGACGATACCACAACTTTGGACGCTGGGGTAGCGGTGTAACAGTCTTAAAAGGCGCGATCCGGATAATGTTTTCGGGCCTGATAGTTCGGTCTTGTTCTTGGATCCGTAAAGGTGACCTCAAATTAAACACACAGACACACAGCATGCGTATCAGTTCAGTTTCACTTCGATGCTTTGAACAAAACCCAGACAGTTGCAAAGTCCCATGTGGACGGTCCGCGTTACACTGATCGCAGCATTTGTCCTGTGAAGCAGGTGCAACTGATCCATCTTTGTAAGAAACTCTGAATAACAAACCAGGGAGAGTAATGAGGACAGCAGATTGTGTGACATTATCACAGTCCATCTCCTCTAAAATTTAGATGAACACGTTTATATACTAAAATGTATTTTAACATGCTTACTCTGATGTTTTATCGGCATGGCAGCTATTTCCGTGTATATTTTATGTTAGCCTACTTCCGAGCATATATTAGTGGTTTTCTAATGGGAAGAGAGTATATATTTCACACGTTTAGGCTGTGAATACATCTGGGGGTCAAACGTATGTGCTATTTGACAACAGCATCACTTCAGACGATCCTCTCTGCATAGGAATATATGTTTTGCCTTTTGCCGTTTCTGGAGGGTAAATTAAGGTTGGGATTTATTTCGGCATACCTTTGCGGGTGTTGGCCCTTTGGGGGGTGAAAGACACTGGGAAGTAAGTGCTGTGTACTCGGGCAAGCGGCAGATCGCAACCCCTTCGTCTTATTTCCAGCGCCGCCGATCCGTAGATTTACGATGAGCAGTTTGTGGGTGTGGAAAAGCAGTTGCGGGGCGCTTGCCAGGGAGTCCAATAAGAGCGCCTTTGCCGGTAGGAATATGCGGAGCCGGGCCTGTCCGGACATGCTCCAGCTCCCGCCCGGACCCGCTCCCGCCAGCGCCGCACCGCTGCGATGGGTGATCCCAGAAAAATATGGTAAAAGAGTCATTGCCTCCGGAGACTGAGATAACAACCCCCCCCCCCC